GGGGGGGAATTGATTGATCGACTTTTAATTCCCACCGACGCAAGTCGATCGCGCGGTCTAACAAAGAATTTTCGTGACGAGTTCGCTAGAAAAATCGTTTTAGAAAGGCGTATTAGCCACGCGTATATACTTCTACCTTCTTGCCGGCGGTGTTATTGCGCCGCTAACTGCTCCTACATCTCTATTTACGTGCGTATGTGTGTGAGTGAGCGGGGTTACCGCGTATCGATATGCGATACATATACACACGTGCAATTCGTCTCGGCGAGATGCAATACTGTGAGAAAAGACTGCATTGGTATAAAAGGGGGTGTGTCTCGTGTGGTCCGCATCAGTTTCAGTAGTGATCTCCGCATCGCCACATCATTACCGCCACCATGAACGCTATAGTGAGTTCTAATTCTAATTCTCCTCTCTTCTCTCCGAGTAACCGGAATGATCGCCACGGCGTTACACGGCGCAGGATCCCTACCGAATTCGCGGATTCTAATTACGCGCCCCGTGAATAGAATTCACCGCGAGACATTTAATTCTGATGCGGCTTATTAATTCTTTCAAGACAAAGTTTTCGTTGTAAACGTACTAAAACGAATTTTCATTTTTCTTTATTTGCACAAGTGTCTCACGTATTTTCTATAATATTTTTAAGTCTTAATCAAAAGTAAAAAATGTTTTTTTTTTGGCGGATTTAATTGTCAACCACTTCGTGAGAAAATAGATTAAAATTTAAATTAAGGAAAATAAATTGCCACAATACAATATGTATTTAACTTCGCTTACAATTCTCGCAAATCTGTTGCAGCTTGTACTAGCCATCCTGGGCCTGGCAATGCCCATTTACGGTGAGGAGACACAGGTAGAGAAGAAACAAGAGAAGAGAGGTGCTCTGGGGTTGGGTTACGGCTATGGAGGATTAGGAAACGCTCTGATTGCGGGATCGGCTTATGGAGGACACGGAGGTACGTATCTCCCTGCAGTTATAGTTAAAAGTCCTCGGCACGCCCGGGCGTTTCCGCGCCCCGGGGGTAATTTCACTTTTAGAGGTCACGCGAGACGTATACGCGCCCTTTCGATTTTTCAGGCTACGGACAGAGTTATCTCGGCGGCGGCGTTGCCCCGGCCTACGTCTCGGGTCACGGCATTTCCGCACCCGCCTACGGCTACAACGTGCAGCCCATAGCGTCTCACGGATACAGCGCGCCTTTGTACTCGTCTTACCGTATCGGTTACTCCGGCGCGGGCGGTCTGGGATACGGTGGCACGAACCTCGGACTCGGGCACGGTGCCGGAGCGATCGCATATAGCGCCGGGCTGGGATACGGCGCGAGGGGTCTTGGCCTTGGACACGGTGCGGGAATCGGATACGGTGCCGGATACGGCGCGGGATACGGCGCGGGATTGGGACACGGCGGTCTCGTCGGCGTCGGCGCCGGTTACGGCCACGGATGGTGAAGACGCGGCGGCTGATCTGCATTACCTCGATCGACGCGCAAGACGTCGCAAAACATCAATATGATCCCTCGGTTTTCTCTGTCTCTGAAATTAGTTCCCCCCCCCAAGTTTTTATATTATGCGACTTCTAAATAAACTTTGTATTTTTTAGTAACCGCCGTACCTTTTTTTACGTTTCCATTATAGCGAAGATAAACTGCAATATATAATAATTGAATCTCTCTGAAATCAAATTGATCAATCCGTAAAACAAAATTATAGTGAAATTACAAACTTCAATAAGAAAATGGCCAATGTCTGAATTGCAGTTTGTGGTGCTTAATGATAATCAGGCCCGGCGATTTGTCTCGGCTCTTGGTGCGGAATACTGTGAAAATTTCTGATGAAAAATCCCTCCTTCCCTTCTCCCCTCACTATAACTCCAGCAGTAGTTCATAAAATTTCCAAGTATACAAATTTTTCTTTTAACATTTAATTATTTATTTTTTACAATAAAAAATGTGGATGCTCTATAATTATTTTTACTTATAAATTTATTTAATAATTTATCAATGTCATCTATTACAGCCTCCGCTAAATCTCTATGGTCGGGTGTGAATTTTTTCGGGTATATAAGAAATCCATACCCACCTGATTTTGGGGTGTGGATTGCTCCGCACAATTCACACATAAAACGCCGGGCCTGATAATAATAATATTTTTGCGTGACTCTTATCACAATCCCCAGTCACCTGGCTGCGCGCAAAGTCTTGAAACACAGCTTTAAATTCGAATACGTAACATCATAAATTAAATCGAGTATTTTAATAATAATATTGATGCTAATAAGTATCTTTTTTTTTTAATTTTGTGAAATTATATTGCGAATAATATATATTATCTCAACCAATATTTTAACGCATGGACTTCCCTATATTATCCAGGCAAGTGTCTTAGCGTTTGGAGGCATATGCGTATAGTGAAATAATCGCTTTGATATATTTTAAATTACAATTAAAAGATTTATTTAAAAAGTGATTTGATCAATCTTGATCTCTGGGAGATTTGACATGTGTGACTGTCATATATATATATATATATATATATATGACAGTCACACATGTCAAATCTCCCAGAAATCAAGATTGATCAAATCACTTTTTAAATAAATCTTTTATTAATTGTAATTTAAAATATATCAAAGCGATTATTTCACTACGCGTATGCGTGTGTGTGTGTTAGATTTGTTCTTTTATTAAACAAAATTCTTGTACATACATTATACTAATAAATTTATTTTTATATTTTTCTTTTTATCTAAAATGTTTCTATATTTAATATTATCATTATAATTATTTTATTATTAATATGCGTTTTTTTTCAAACCATCTAATACGTATTATACATGTGACATTTTGTTAATAGTTTATATATTCAAAAATGTAATATAAAAGGATAAATAGACAAAGTGTATTTTTATACAAAAAAAAATAAGATGAAATTAAATACCAGAAACCAGAAATGCGAATGAAAAATTACATAATAATTACAATGACTTTTCCAAAGTTGGTAAATAGAATTTCTACTTTACTTTGACGAGATAGTTGCCTCCTTGTCACCAGATGGTGGTAGTGAACGATCATGTTCAAAATAGATTAGCAACACTTGGTGAGGTTAAGTTGCTGTAGGAAAAGTGTATATTAATAACATTAATCATGAATTTCCTGGCCAGAAGTGTAATGAACATAGCGAGAACTTGCGTAGCAAGTACCATTCCAAGTATGAGCATTGCACTATACAATATAATTATTTTTTTTATTACCTAACCTCTAATCTCCGAATGAAGAGAGGTTATTGTCGCAACAGATACTTTTCAACATTTTTTATTTAATCTATATTTATTTTATATCATTAGACCGTTTCTGTTTTAACTATATATAATCTGTAACCGTTTTACTTATTTCAGGTGGCAGCCTAACGAGATTTTGTGGAATCAACTCTAGTCAAGGTAATCTCCTTACACAATGTCGATTTATTTAACAAAGAATTAAAATCTTGTACTTGCTATTGATAGGAAACATAACGAATGCCACGAGGATATGTGTGACCACAGCGCTGCAAGGTAATAAAATTTTTAAATCTATGCGAGTCATAATCTTGATTTTTCATTTTATGTCAAAATTCAATTCTTTTATTCGAAATAAATACTTTTAATACGAATTGGATATTCATATTTTTATTATATTATAACAGTCGATTCATCATTTGATTTTCTCGTCCTGTTGGAAATTGTTTAATAATTGAGAGAAATAAGAGCCTTGGTCATAAGATAGAGTGACAGGAAGAAAAGCGAGGGAAACTATCTCTTTCTCTTGTAAACAATTCATTATTCTGTGAATGGTTTTGAAATTCATTCTGTGAATTATTTTGTGCATATACTTCTTGTTTTTAAATAATATTTTGCCATAATTTTTTTATAAAAATCAATTCTAACCACTATTTTTAATTGTCAAAAATTATTACTCAAATAATTAAAAGATATATCAAAATTTAAATTTTTTAAAATTATATATATTAATTATACATAATATTTTAAACATTTAACCTAATGGACTCAACAATTTAATGATCTTATTTGTTATTAACTAAATTTATGTATCTTTGAATTATATAAACTTAAATTCAATGCATTCAAATCTCTCAATCGGTATAAAGGACGTGTGTGCCAAAGATTTGAAAATAAAAAAAATCAAGATAAATCAAGATTAGGAGTTTGATGACCTGTTTACGTGAAATTGTGTGAAACGTTAGAGGTATCGCATTTCTTATAAGCGTGACTAGATTGGTCCTCTCCGAAGCGCCTATTGATACGTATTTTCACGATTTTCTGCTTGGATCCGGATTCTGCAAAAGAAGTGGTCGAATCTCGTAGGAAGTCGGCTAGATTTCCCATCGCGGTCCCGGCATTCTTCTGCCGCGAAAATACGCGCAGCCCTCACCTCTTTGATCCCCACGGACGGAGATCTCCAAAATACCAAAAGGGATCTATTCGTCCACTTCGCAAGAAAAGGCTCGCGCTGCGTAAAGACGGAGCCCTTGTGACCACTAGCGAAAATCGCTGGGAATTGAGGGGTGTGACGTGTCCATTTGCGGTTGACCAGTTGTCGCTGTGGGATCAGGCACTGTCCGCGCGTTTCCCCCTTTCCGCTTTTCTCGCAACCCTACAAAGGGTGGACCCGTGATCCATTCATGAGAGCATTCGTGAGAGCATTCGCAAACGACGGCGCTATCAGAATTACGGATCTCTTGCGTTTCGTTAATTTAATGGTCCCGGTCAGAATTTTGCTTCTATATTACGAATATCTACATTTCTAATATTTCCTAACATCTGTTGTTTCGACTTTCTCTTCAATCATTCATGCTAAATCCTGTGTCATATATTTTGGCACGAAAAATATTTTAGAAAAAGATACAAATGAATAAAGAAAAAAAATATTTTTTTACGAGTTAAAATAATTTTTAATCCTCTACGGAACACCCCTGGATACCCGGTTACATGGAACACCCCATCATAATGACCGCTATTCCAGAAAAACACGAGTTTTATTCATTTTTTTACTAGTGTAAATGTGTATCTTAGCGGTCATAATGACTGATATTCCGGGTAGAGGGTTAATGAAGAATCCGATTATGAAGAATCACGTTAATTTGTTTTGACCTTACACAAATATTTTCTACTTTGCATTCTCCTATTTTATGCATTTCGAATATCAAAGGCAATTCAAATCACTTGTAACGAATATTAATTTACCACAAATTATTAGTATCAACTATTGCGATATAATTTTTACGACTGGGAGAAGAATTCTTAAAAATTCGCATTCTTTCGAATGTAAAGGTCGTAATCAGTACAAAAAAAAATTCTCAAAGAAATTCGAGGCAAGCGAGGAGAGAAAGGAAAAAGGTTTTTGCGACGTTGTAACGATGCAACAAAGCGCAACACCGACGCCGAAAATTTTCGCAACGTAATCTTACGTATTCATCTATGAGAAAAGGGGTTTGCCTTTATACATAATAGCGTCTGGCATAGGAGGAGTTAGGACGGATTAGTCACTATCCCGATGGACATCTGTCGTATTGACGGACGGTGGTCAGCCAATTGTCGATATGATCAACAATGGCACTTTCTTTCGGTGAACCTTGGTTGATCGCAGAATGTCACGGCTCTCGCAGGCAACTCTAAAATTCTCAACGTCACCTTCGACAGCTTTCATTCTCGAAAACTGATCACTTCGTAACGAGCATCCTTTTTAGCGATTATACCGTCATACGATACTCGTTTTAAGTAATCTTTCAAAACATGTGGCAGATTGTTGCCAAATGTATTACGATATTCTTTCTTACAAGATTTTATTTTATTTCGTCAAACGTATCGATGTGTGCTAGAGGCAAATGTCAAAATTAATTTATTAAATAAGAAATAATAAAGAACGAAAAGATTCAATTGTTAATAACACGTTTCAAAAGCTAAATCTTAGATCTATTATATTCTGTATAAACATTAAAATTGTTAAAGTTGACATAATGCATTTTTTTTTTTGACAAGTTAAAGTTTCAAGATCACGTGAATTAAATTTTCAAGAATTATATTAGAATAAGTATATGAACCACGTATGAATTCGTTATGTTCTCAATTGACACAACGGTGTTATTGAAATTATATAATAACGTATTTTACGAATACGTACGAATAAGACGTTTATTTTTATTAGCATCTTGTAAAATTACTAGCAGTCTTGTAAAATATGCCCGACAAAAAATGAGGGAGCAAAAATTAAAATTTATTTTTTTTATGATTACGACACACACACATTCTTTTTTCAAACAATATTTTAATGGTTTGCGTGATCGAAAGAAAAATATTATTCTTTGAGAAATGCTTACGTCATTTATCATATTTGTTAGTTTAGCCGACAGGAATTTCGTGCCTTTCCCATGTTCTTTGATTGTTTGCGAAAATGCTTCTAATCCGCCCACCACATACTTCTTTCGAGGTCTGTTTCATAATAGAAAACTGGAGAAACTTTTTAATAATTTCGCAATTCGTCTTCATCTCAATTCTATTTCATGATAATTTATTTTTCTCATAAAGGAAAACGTCACGCTTATCATCTGAATTTCTAGACGTATTCTAATAATATATTAATAATCGATGTCTTGAAAGACGATTTCAGAATTATGAAAATTAAAATTTATTGAAACGTGTGCGAGATGATGACTAAATCAATAAATTCAGTCGATTACATTTGAAGATGGAAATACATAAAAAATTGCATAGAGATATTTTTCGATAGTACTTACGTACAATAAGATCGGTAGCTCTATTTTTTTTTGTCCAAATCATTTTCTACCCGATTACAGAAAACGCTTACATGATTATTTATACTGATTCAGGGTTGGGACAGATCAGATTTGGCAGCTCATTATGGCAAATGTATAGGAGAGGTGGACCATACAAAAAGCGCAAACCTTCGAAGAATCCTTTCGACGGCGCACCATTTATGAAGGGCGTAGTTTTAAAAACCGTCATTAGAAAGCCGAAGAAGCCTAACTCTGCGAATCGAAAATGCGTCGTTGTGAGATTGTCAAACGGCAAAGAAATGACGGCGTATGTTCCCGGTAAGATCTGTAATTAATGCTTGTACCAATTTGGTATCCGAGTTATTGTCGCACCAGGAAACTTTGGCATGCTACACGTTAGAAGGATGATTCAGATGGATTAAATGATTTCAGGAATCGGCCACAATCTACAGGAACATAATATAGTGCTCTGCAAGAATGGACGACTGCGAGATACACCTGGCGTTAAGATAAAATGCGTGCGTGGAAAATATGATTTGCCACATGTAGCTAAGAGCAATTAATTTACAATTATCAATTGTCACCAATTGTCTGGCTATGTAAGTTCTGTAAAAAAAAAAATAGATTAACTATAACTTTTAACTTCGTTACTGTCTATACTTTTATTATGTACAATCTGTATCAATAAAAAAATAATAATTAGTTCCTAAGAACCGTAGTACTAAATTTCGCAAATTTATCATAGCACGGAAATGACGATATATATTCTTGATAAAAATATGATGTAAAGGTATTATCTATTAATCTACTTTTCGAGAATTTTACATTTCCGAATTATGAAATATAAAAGATTTGGCCTTTGGTAACAATTTGCGACATTATTTATTAGAAATGATTAGTTTAAAATATAATTATAAGAATTTTCTGAATTTCTAAAATATGATTTTTAAATGTATATTAAAGATATTATTGGGAGTGTGATGATCAAGGCATTTCGATTTCGCACAATCGATCAACATCGCCCGCGACGGAAAGCAATTTTCGGGACGTCACGGTTTAGAGATTAGTCCTGAAAATTGCGGGCCTTTGACACACTTTTCGGATGCCGAGCCCCACCGCACATTTACCGTTACCTGGCCCGCGAGTTCGTTATTGTAACGGTGGATGGACAATGGGGATCTGCTATCGGGACACAATGGGGGAAAGGGTTGTGACACAGCATCCGCTTTTTCGACATTATTACGGAGGGGTTGGCCGTCGCGCATCTGCAACCTTCGTCCGCCCACGCGGCTATCGACCATATGACATGCTGACCAATATCCCGATATTTGGAGAAGACCGGCTCTCAACCTGAAACCCCTTTGGAGACGAAGAAGGATTCTTACAAATCTTTTCGAATAAGCATCATGCCTAAAGGTTGCATTTTGATCATTCAATTGAATTTATATTACGCTTGAAAATAAAATAATTCTTGTGTCGTAAAAGTGCAAGGTTTCTTTAACATTAAATATTGAAGTCATCCGAATGGAATTAAAACAAAAAAATTTGAAAGAGATTTTTCGTTATTTTTTTTTAATTTGGATACTTTTAATTAGATATACTGTGTGAATGAGAACCTGTTATGGAATAGAGGCTTAACCGAAGAGAAATGGCTATCCCAAGGGATGATAGCGCCACGAGGCGTGCGTGAGGCAGAATGTTTCATTAAACTTCCGCAATATATGTCCTTTCTATTTTGTGAAAAGCTGATGTCATCGTGTTAATTATTCACGTTATAAATATTTATTCAAGAGGTTTATTTAATTATCAGTAGAGTTTTCCAAGATTGGAGAATTATTTCTGAAGCGTTTATCATTATTAAAACATGATTTTATTTATTTATTATAGTAATACTTTTTTTACTAATTAACTGTTGGAAATATTCTTGACAAGGGAACTAACTCAAAGGTAAATAATTCAAAGATGCTAAGATTAATCTTTTAGCACTAAACTCTAACAGTTAAACTTTCTAACGACTTCTTATTTTTAAGAAAATATAATAATAAGAGCGGCAAACTTTTGCACAACGCATAAAGCATGAGAAAATCAATCAATCAAATTTCTTGCTTTTCATGAAAAATGAAGGACTGAATGAGTCTTTTATGCCTTGTACGAGTACGTCATACGTTATGCAAAGTCCGTAAGTTCCTAATCCTTGTGTATCGAATCGGCAGGTAGGAATCGGTAGAATATATATTTAAATAAGCCAAATGTTTCTATTAAATTTGCTGACGTTGCAAACTAGTGAATTTAGAGCATACTTTTAGCATACCTTCAGTTCGTATTTTATTTGGGCATTTTTTTTTCTTTTGATACTTGAAGGCTATAAAAGTCAATTTGTACAGCAGGTAATGTGAAAATCGCAATAGGAAAATCATGGTGTGTGCTGAATAGCTGCCTCTGCGGCTTAAATATTATACAAAATAACTGATATTTTATGAATATATTTGAAAAATTATAAAACAAAGCTTTACTTGTAAATTTAAGTGACTTTTAATGATAATTAATTGCTTACAATATTCTTAATTAGTAACAGATAATAAAGTAATAATAAAGTAAAATCGCGTAAAGTAATAATAAAATCGATAAAATCAAATTATTTTCTCGACCGCTCGTTCACTGGTGTGAAACTGCGAAACGTCCCGATTTAGGATCTAGTGGTTACAATCAGAATTCTGTATTCTAAACATGTGTGAGAGTATAATATTCGAGATAAAATTCTGCTTAAGATACGAGATTTCAAACAAGGACGCGCGCACAAAGGCTACTCTCCGAGCAGAATCGCCGCCGTTGAACTGATTCAACAACGGTAACAAAATCGAAAGAAAGCTAGTCTACAATGCACGAGTCTCCAAATGACTAACAGTGCTCCCAAAAGCCTCTCAAACAAATGGCGAGTAAACATTTTCCGTGCTGTCGCACGATTGTGCCTAACTCTTTACCGTTCGGCTTAGTAACCGGACACCAGGCGATCTCGTCTTTCTAAAAATTCTGCACTCGCGCAGTTCGACTATTACTCTCTCTTTCCAGCACAAGCATTTCTTTTTATGCCATACGTATGCCCAGCTGTCATCCCATTTTATTTTATATATATAATTTTTAATAAAATTAATTTCATTATTAATTTCATTAATATACCTCTGGTCAATATTGGTCATTATTTATTTTTGCTGGTATACTTATAAAAATGCTCTATGAGTCTATGACAATATAAGAAAATCGTTCGTGAAATTAATTATAATAATTATTAATCATTAAATTAAATTCACTTTATTTCATAATACGTCTTTTTATACGTCTTTAAAATCCGGGATAGGTCTCTTAACGTAACAATTTCAATATTTGCTAATATATCATAAACTACAACTTAAATCGAACATAATTTTTTGGGTGTACCCAACGTATCGCATGCCGCGGAGATCCATCTTCATCGAGCTACAAAGAGAGGACTTCAGTCAACAAATAAAATCCATCCTCGAAGTGGGAGGGTGTGTCGGTAGAAACGGAATAAGAAGGTGAATAGAGAAAACATTTTCTCGCAAAAAGTGAATGTACAAGGTCATTGACAGTATATGAATCTTGAATAACTATAAGCAAACTTGGTGGATGGACAGAAGATAAATCGAAAATAATCTACCCGTTCTTCTGTTTGTTCGGTAGCTCTTTGTCATCGGCAGTTTCATCATATTTGGCAATAAGTATCGCCAGTGTCTAAGATAACATCAAAGGTTCCGAAAGAGAACAAAGATAATTTAAATATGAAAATTGAAAAGGAAATGCAGAAGGTCAAAGGAACATATTCTCCAAGTAATTAAGCTGAGAAATGATGCTCAAGAGATTTTGTCAACGGTTAACATATTTTTGCGTTCACTACTACATATTACTTCTATAGAATAGAATGTATTAAGAAAATTATTTTGCATTTTTAAATAAAACGATTTAACAAATCATTAAATTAAAATAATTTTACAAATATTGCGTACAGATAATATTGAACAAGGAGTAGTAACAAAAATTATATTCGTGTTTTAGTCATTGCTCATTAATGGTGATAATTATGCGTATATCATTATATACAAGAGTCGCATAAATCATATTAAATGAAAAATACAGAAAGAACGAGTGTGATAAGTAAATCTATAATTCTTTTTAAATATAACTTTATATTTGAAATTAATCTTATAAATTGAATTTTTTGTTCAAACTTTCCTTGAAATGTAAACAAATGAAATTATCGAAAAGCAAACGTGAGGCTACACTTAACTTTTATTTTCACGTAATAATTAACTATTTTAAATTGTTAGAGATAAACACTTTACTCATATTACGCAAACCAATAAAACTGTAGAATCTGTAGATATTAACTTCTCCGACATTGATCATTGGAGAACAAAAAGATGTAATTTTTATTTTTGTATTTTATGGGACTTACATGTGAGACAAAAAGCCTTTCAATCTTGATTATTTTAATATGATTAGAAGTTTAAGATCGTTTAAGTCAACATGAAATAATTATTATATAAATGATTTATATTCAAAAACTTTTTGATTAAAAGATAAAAATAAAATACAAATCTACAAATGTGAATATTGAATTGAAATTTCTATTATTCATATTTGTTGATCAATATTACGAATTAAAAATCAATAATGAGCTACGAAATAGATTATGAATCAACGATTGCGTCGATCATTCTTTGGATGAGTGATAACGAGGAATCACGTAAACATTGCATGATTGAGACACGCAGTTATGGTATTTATACTAGGTAACAATGTAACATACAGAACGTATAATACAACGCACAGTACAATATTCGAGAATTATCGGATGGCAAATCCTTGCCATGGGTATGTTAAAAATTAAAAAGTCTCAATCGAACGGCTTGATTTAATATTTTTATAAACTCAATTTATTTGCGGGCGCTAGCATTAAAAAGAGCCAAGAAAATATGATGTCCATTTGAGATGTCCGTTCTTGATTGTACGGTCTCGCCACTTGTAAATACCCTGAGAAAACTATCAACGGTGCATCTGGCTATTCACGGCCCGCAAATTCAGACGTTTCGAGGAAAGCGATGGGGTGGCTATGCCGCGTCCATCCGATACCGTTACGATGCGTCGCTGTGCACGTATGCCTGTGAGCGTGCGACAGATGCAAATGGCGAATGCATTCATCCGCGTCGCCGGGACCACGGCGATCACGGGAAAAATCGCAAATAACGGGTTGCGGCCGTTTCACCGGCGCACCATAGAAATGTGGGTTATGCAGCCAAAAGAGCAAAAATTTGTATACATAAGAAAGGAGGCGGTGCGGTGAATTGAGCGCCGAGATGCTTTTCTGCGAATGACAAGCTTCAACCCCCGGAGCACCCAGAATGGACGACTAAATTTGGCGTGATCGCGAGACGTCGACATAATGAGGCATCGCCGTCGTCGCATCCGAGAGTAACCCTTCGCGCTGACGATTTTCATTTTGTTACATGTCAATCCTTTTTCTTTAACATTAATGAGATCCGCGGAGAAGATCAACGGTGGATATGTCAAAAGAACCATGGCTTTATTATTAACGTTGAGAACTGTCGCAGAGTAATTATTTTTATTGATCTAATCAGTATACTTTATAAAACGCGCGCGAAAATTTTCGTATCTTTTATCTAATTAATTTTTTCTCGCAATCTGATTTATTTCTTTCTTACTATATACTTACTAATATTCTGACATTGGATTATTTTTCAGGGACGTGAAATGCATATGTGAATTTCTAATCTGTACTTAATGATCTACGAAACGTAAACGAATCCTATGAAAAATGATAAGGCGAAACGAATTTTTTTATTTGAAAAATGATGTATCTTTAACGAGTTCTTTTACAAAATTTAGCCCCGAATTGTTATTGAATAGTTCAGTGCTTTTAATATTCAAAATATGTAATTTGATTCTTTTAGTATTTTTCTGCAAGGATTTCTGTCTATTATTGTAATGTCTTGGGAAACGGACGAGTTTTAAAAAGATTGCAATTTTCTTTTGAACAGCCGACTTCGCAATTTTAACCTAAAATATTAATATATTAAAGCTTTTTGGTCATAAATCACACAAGAACTGTCAAAAAAGGATCGCAGAAAGAAAAAATCTTTTTTTAAAGTTATTCAATTTGTAAGCCTTTGTAAATATCGGCATCGCAAAGTGACATGACTCTAGATTTGTTCTCTCGTACTGTATTCAATTATTCGTCCACCCACGTAAACGTAATAATGTACGTTTATGAATACGAATAATTGAATACAGTTCAAGAGAAGTAAGTCTATGATCATATCACTTTTAATTAATGTGTTCCTGACAAATCGATTTCGAAATAATATCGTTAATTGTGCATTAGTATTCATTTATAGTATTCAGTATAGTTCCCGGCAAACCACGCGGGTGACATAACTATGCGATATTGTGTGAATTCTGTTATGAAATTATTATATATTATTATATTATATACTTAAAATAATTTCTAAAAAAAGAGAAGAATTAAAGAAACGACGCAAACTTATTTAACTCTACAAGATAGAATAATATATTGTCTGCTAATATACATAAATCTTTAGTTCGCAAAATAAATGTATATTATAGATATATATAAGAAAATATTTGAAAATAAAATAAATAATTTATAATATATATTTATGATATTATATTATATTATAATAAAAACCTATGTGAATGTTATTCTCACGGCTATTGTTGTATGTCAAACATTTTGAAAATCGCTTGGTCGTCTAATCCGAATGGCACGTGCCATTTCTGACCAACAGGTTGTATAGTTTCCCCACTACTTTCCCTAAGAAGGAAACTTGGGGCCTCAAGGGTGAGCTATATAAAGCTTTTCCAACCCCGACCGAGACTAGATGGACATAGAGATTTGCTCAGTAAAGTTTGCGTCGAGTACAAGATTCAGTCTCTCTTTTTTTACGTCTCTTTGCAAAATTTGCCCATGTGAAGTAATTGCGCGGTAATCGAATATAATAAGGAAAGGAACGAGCATATTGTTATCGACAGTGTTGTGCTAGCAGTGGTCTCAGTGTAACCTTGGATTAAACTTGGATTAGGTAAGTGTATTTATAAATTACGATAGAATTCCATTAGATAATAATATTTTTGTACTTTTTTAACCTTGAGAAATAAAATTTTTTAAAATCATATATATACATATAATCATATATTACATTACATATTGTCGAATTTACTCATCAAATTATACTGAAAAATACTATTGAAAAGATAACTCTTTCAATTGTTTATAATAATTTTAAATTGTTCAATCAAACGAAACTCTTTTCATGCATTAAACTAACAAAATTCTCTATTAAGCGTTTCAGATTTAAGTTGAATCTGTTTGTTTTTAATATGTTAGAAAAAATAAAAATTATCTCTTTTATATAAATTTATTTGACACGGAATAACTTATCTAACAGGCTTATACTTTACAATCATATGTGAGATCTGTAACAAATATACATACGCTGTTTCACTATCGCTCGACATTATGCATACATTTTTAAGTTGCTTTCTTTCACATTCACTTATACTTTGTAATCAAATCAAAGAAATGCATTTAATGAATGTTATTTGTTGATGCCTGGGACGCAGTCGCACGCATTAATGATGATCAATTTACATTTAACTGATACAATGAGAATTCCCCTCTATAAATCTCAGCAGACCTTCTTCTAAGGTGTAGCCTCCGATTATTGGTCAGCTTGGCGTTGAAGAGGATAAAAATTAAATGCAAATATATCATCAATGCACGTGACACGCACAAAATTTCCGAGAAATTTATCAATGGAACAGTTCAAAGTAGAAATTTTCAAGCTTTAAATTTGAACAGAATTAATATAAAACTGTTTTTTTTGTTACATTTATTAGTACACAAATGTTGTATTTCATTATACTGGTAAAATGACAAATATGTCATCAAATGACTCTGAAATATATTTTTATTCTTCTATTTAAAAATAATCAAAATTTTAAAATGCAACAAAAAAAAATATCGCTGCGCCATTGAAAAGTTACATTAGCGTGATAGTTGGAATTTGGATAGTGGAATTTGAATTACTACAGAATTAATTGGAATTTTATTTGAAACATCTTGATAAACTTTATGCTGATGTAACAGATTGTCTAAAATTTAAACATTTTTTAGAGAGTACACCTTTTAACTTTTTATACTTTTCTCATTTGATGCACATACATGAATATATAAATATATAAATATATGAATTAATAATTAATAATAATTTGTAATTTTGTCACAGCAAATTATAAATAACGATGGAGAACAATTACAAGCAGGACGATGAGAGGTATTTTCAACGCTCTGAGCAAAAGGACAATTCGGACTTAAATATGTCGGCTCTAGACTTGTCACGCAAGAAGAACGTGATATCTTCGACTTTATGGCCCGAATTCAGAAATGAAACCGTCGGCTCATCGCAAACTTTGCCTACAAGTATAAAGAAGCGATATCGACAAGATGTAGATTTTCTAGATGTAGATACGCAGTCTCCCGTCGCGAGTAGCAGTGCCATGCTGTCGCCATGTTCCGAGTCAAACTCGCCGAAGAGGACGATGACCGATGCCGTGGACTACTATGGAAATAGTAGCCAACATACGGCAACGTTAACAAATACGCGCAATGTTACTCCGGGCGTAACAATAGTAACGCCGCAGCAGCCGTCGTTACCTGTGATTCCGAACGAGGCCACGTACATCCCCGTACCAATAATACCTATACCGCACATGGAAACGTCGCAGTCTTCGATAATAAATAATGAGACCAGAAGAAAAATCTCGCTTCTGCCGGCAGAATGCTCGACGTCTACGGATCCGAGGTCGCCGACATCATCGCAGGACGCGACGAAGAAAGCGCCGAGGCCGTTCAAGGCCTATCCGAACAACATTTTGTCCGTCGTTCCGACTATCGACCACAATTCGAATGTGAATTATGCGGACTTCCGTAAGAGGATGCTCGCCACAGTTAAAACGGCGAACGGAAATACGAACATGCGCCGAGTGTCCAAGAGTCCTGGATTACCTACCAGCACCGTCGAGGAGAAAGACGCTGCGTATTGGGAGAGAAGAAGGAAAAACAACGAAGCAGCGAAACGTTCGAGGGATGCTCGACGAGCGAAGGAGGACGAGCTCGCAATCCGAACGGCTTGGCTCGAACGTGAGAATGCGTCATTAAAGCTACAACTGAAGGCACTCATTCAAGAACTCGTCACATTAAGACAATTTGGTTCAATTCAGTTGTGAATTATTATTACGGCATGTGATAATAATACGATATTACGATTCATCATGATACGGTTTCCAATTGCAATTTAAACGTTTGGTATAAATATCATGTATATTTTGTATATTTATCTAATATATTTAGTATATAAATATATAACTATAAACTATATATTAATATATAGTTTGTGTATATATTTTTATATATAGTATGTATGAAAATATATGTATATATATAAAGATATACGCATACTATACTATATTCTAGATATATTGGCACATATGGAATCTAATGCTGCATACATATGTGTGTGTATGTACATTACCAATATAATTTTTTTCCGTGTCGTAAAAATATTCACAACTGATAAACAAAAAATTCTTGGCAAATTATTCGTTTCGTCTGTGTTTAAAAAAATGTCTCTGAACATTTTTTTTAAAGACTAATATAAAGTATTTTCATAAATTATCACATTTAAACTCCGTACCATATGATGTCCCAATATAAAAATTATAATTTTGCGTCGTACATGAGATTAAAACTGATAATGCGTGGAGTTATGCGGTAATTTAAATATGCTTTATAACTGACGTTATTAAGACTGATTACGAACAGACTGATATCAAAATATCGAAATTGACAAGCAATATTAATCCTGACCTATACTCTCACAAGATAATGTGGCTTAAGATTTGTCAATAATATAAGATATTGTCAGAACAAGTGTTTGTGCAAATAGAAATATTAAAAATACTATGTAGCTATAACATGTCTATCGATTTAAGATAAATTTTAACCAAAGTTTAGTACTTAATAAGAATTCGGAAGTTGTGAACGTTATTATATACATATTGCAATGTATTATAACATTATATTATTACATTAAAAAACAAGTTTTTTTCGTCTCATATACGTAATAAACTGTTTTGTAGTGCTCAAATATTTAAAATATATATTTGTATTATATACAATTCGTATAATTGCCTTTTTGCACAAAACTCCTTTCTTACATATCGTACAAATACAATTCTAAATAAGTTTGATTTAAAATAGCATTTTTCCTAATTTTTATCTTAATAAAATTAATTCCTTTTAATTCTTATACAATATACTTATAATTACACAAAAATCTTTCGAAACATTTCGTCATTTAAAAAAAAAGTTAAAAAAAATCATGCATACAAATTTGTCAATCAGGCAACGTGTCTGCAAGTTCCATCATAGTATCTGACTCAAGAACATTCTTTTCTCTATTTTGATTATTTGTGAGTACCTTCGAAAAAGATTTCTGTACTTGTCTAGGGATAAAAACTAATGGCGTCGTTTTAGTTTTGGCATTGTTTGACGAAACTGTTTCTACACCATCATTATTTTTGCAGACTGCACTAGTGGTAGCAGCTTTCATGAACATCTTGCTTTTTTGATTTTTATTCAAGAGTACCTTAGCAGGTTTTTTTGTCCTCTTGTTAGCGACAACATCAAATTCCATTTTATTCGATTCATCTTCCTTGCTGCAATACGGCGTGTCGTCAAACCGATACTTCTTTGGAAATCTATGTATTCTAATGCAATGCTCCTTCCTTTCCACTGGATTATTGAATTTCATATTACACTCGGAGTCGTAACATTGATACTAAAAGAAAGTATTGTAATAAGTACATTTGATCTACATTTTCTAACGACACCGATCCAGGTAAAAAAGGTGGGCCCTCTCTACGTACCATGGCTTGCTTCTCTGATAAGACTTTGAAGAAGGCATCGTGTGTCTCCTGAATATGAATCTCCAACAATCGTGGATTCGGCCTGGACACTTTGCATTCCGTACAGGCGTATCGATGCGAGCCGTTGTAATGCATTTCGTAATCGAGCAGCGTTTGAAAGGTGTTCTTGCATCCTGGGACATAACATGAGAATTCCTTGATCCTGCGAAACAAGATATCAACTTTACTTCTCTCTGCTACAAATCGATCGCGTACACAACACACCAATGCTCTTCCAGCGAAATAGAAGTCGAGCAATTTTCGAATTCTCGTAATCTCCGACATTTTGTAGAATTGTTTAGAAGAGGATTCGTGCAAAGTAAACGTGTGATGTTTATCGAAGGAAAATAAACTTTTAGGTTATGTCAGGCATTTCCCTTTTTTTTTTCACAGAGGATCGTACTCACGCTTCGTGGCAGAGCTCCTCCTCGTCATCAATCGTGACGCCCTTTCTTTGGAAGACCTTGCAGACTTTGTAAGACTCTTCGAAGAAAGGATCGTTCACAGGACGAATCCCGACTCCCAATTGCTGAAGAACCTCCTCCATAGCGCATTAGACACTGTACTGAGTATACAGATAAATGCAGTGCGTGTTTTCTTCGAGATCTCGCGATGCTATTACTTAATTTCTTAATATCTATTACTTAATTCTCATTACGGTCACGTTCGAATCAACATTTATTGTTTATATATTTTATATATAACCGCCTCCAATGACACGTGTCGAACGTTGCGCCACAAGATACTGCGTTCGCGGCTGGCTCAGCTGGCTGTCGGTTCGAGTCACTCGAGCGATATCTGGCAGACGATCCGCCCGGCGCCCATTGCACACATTTTATTTGTGGACGTAGCCCGCGATCGCTGCATCGCATAATAAAAGAAATACAGACTACATACAGAGAGAGAGGATCCCAGAGAGGACCTGACGGTCTTTTGGCTGTAATTGACTCCGATGTAGCACAGACTCGAATCACGTTCATCCATTTTCGACGTTATGACTTTATCGACCGTGTCAGAAAATGGACGCAGCTACGTAGTTACCCATTCTGCACGTTCGTCCAGTAGCCGATAAAGCGTATACCGTCATGGCCGCGCTTCGATCGCGATCGTGTAACCGCGCGTCCGCGTCCGCGACTCCGCGTAAGATCTTAAGATGTGATCCCGAGACGTTCTTTGAGTGTTTATCGGAAGCCGAATTTCAACGTGCGGCTCGGCGAGATTGTTAAGATAAGACGAAATACCGAAATTTTGTTTGATATAACATAATTTTATTAGCGTGGATACAGCAACATTGGCGCAGCGAAATATTCGTAAATGTAGCGATAATGGACGTAAGTAAATACGGTAGGAGGTATAATAACTGAGACCGATATAATTTCGGCGGGTTTAATTTCCGATGTCTATTTGTGCGGAGAGAAAGAACGTCTTTTGCGAATGAGGTTAAGGTTTATTATTGTTGCGCGCAGAATGCTTTTGAATGTATAAACTTTGCCGTTTACGTCAACCATTTTGATAAAAATTAACGAATCAATAAGCGATATACATTGTTAATTTTATTTTCTTGTCAAACCCCGCAGAACATCCACGACTCCGCATAAGATCTAAGATGCGATCCCGAGCCGTCTTTTTTGAGTGTTTATCGGAAGGAGAATCGGAGGCGAATTTCAACGTGCGGATCGGCGAGATTGTTAAGGTAGGATGAAATACTGAAACTTTATTTGATATAACATGATTTTATTAGCGTGGATACAGCAACATTGGCGCAGCGAAATTCGTAAATGTAGCGATAATGGACGTAAGTAAATACAGTAGGAAGTATAATAATTAATTGAGACCGATATAATTTCGGCGGGTTCAATTTCCGATTCCGTCTATTTGTACAGAGAGAAAGAACGTCTTATTCGCGAATGAGATTAAGGTTCATTGTTGCGCGCAGAATGCTTTTGAATATAAACTTTACCGTTTACGTCAACCTTTTTGATAAAAATTAACGAATCAATAAGCGATATACATTGTTAATTTTATTTTTTTGTCAAACCCCGCAGAACATAATGAGAAATAACAAAAATTCACCCGTCGATATATGTAGTAGATCGTAAATAATATGCATAATCGACGCTCGATTTATTCAACCAATAATCGCGTCTTCAGATTTTCCAATATCTCGGCCATCCTGTTCTCTAGTTCGTCCCTTCTTTGTATTTCTTCTCTTTTCTCCTGTAACATATGTACAGAAAAAGAATATTTTGACTTATAAGCAAGAGTTGAGCTACGTAAGATATCTTTATCTTATACAAAAATTTTTCTGGGAGAGAATTCTGAATTATTAATTTTTACTCAATGTTTAATTTTGAAAACACACACGCACACGCACGCACGCAAACATACTTTTATCTAATAGATTTAAAAGTAATTTAGTATTAAATAATTATTGTATTATAGATTTAATTTCCGGAGAAATATTTTAAAAGCATTTGTAAAATAAAATGTAATTATTTTCAAAATTATATCGAAATAAGTTTGATGAATTATATCAAAGTATTGATAAGTTCTATGAGTTATAATATAAATAAATGATTTAATCTAAAATGTAGAATATTCGAAGTATTGAATTAAATTTTTTTTTTAATAAAAAAGATATTTTCTTGTTTGCATGCATTCGTGTGTGTGATTGTATTCCACACGTAGTACACTACAGGCTGTTAATATTATTGGTAATTTATTACAGTCAATTATATATTTTTTCTTCTCTATAATTATATTTTATGTTGCTCTTAAGAGAACGACAGAATACAATTATTAAAATTAAAATTGAATACAACACTTGAAAATACACTTTGTGTCAGCAACAGATGCTATACAGATGAAATATTATATGTGACGAATTTTCCGAACCGAGAAACAGGGCTTATTAGTTGCGCGAATTAACAATTTAACAATATTTCGCTGAATATTGCTGAATATTTAATAATTTACTTGAATTATTTCTACATAAGATTACAATCAGATATTGCGTATAAAGTCCACATAGTGGATCGGCCCGTTCGGCTTTAATTGCCTCCGTTCCGATACTCTCAAGGTCGCCACTTTGTTCCGGTACTCCCTGACTTTGGCTTTCTCCGTATTATTTTCCGGTTCATCGGTCTGTTCCACGATACTTTCATCATCATAGTGATAAGCGGCCGGTTCCAGTGCAACGAGCGCGTCCGATTCCTCCACAGTTTTGCCGTTCTCCTCAGCAACTTTCGTTGCATCGTTGCTTTCGCCATCAAAGTTATAATCGTCCTTGCTGAAACCGAAGAAATCGTGGGCGCTCTGAGGATCGTCAAATGGCTTGCTCGTCAACGCCGATTGCGGGATCTTTGCCTCTTCGTCGTCCTTGCGGTGTGCCTCCTCATCGTTCCTGCGATGTGTCTTTTCATCGTCTTTGCGATGTGCCTCTTCGTCGTTCTTCTTTGCTCGCAAACTCTTTCGTCGTCTTAGTAGCCGCGAATTACGCGATATTTCCGACGCTCTACTACTCTGCGCGTTCTGATTTGAAGACACAATGTTTTGCAATGGTACGAAGACTGGCCGAGGAGATTGCTCGGCTGCATTGCTTGGCGAATGCGGCCTATATATTCTATTTGACCAATTTTCCGTGTTAGGAATATGACTTCTTATGTCAATATCAAACGGTTCCTCGGCTTGAGTAGCGCGTTCTCCGAAAGTGTATCTGTAATGATCGAGAACACTCGCTGGGATTTCCTGGTAGTAATAGTCGCGAGGACTGTTCGTCTCATTCACATTGTACACGCGGGTGACGTTAGGTCTCGCATGGACGATCTGTTGACTTGCGCTTTGTTGAGCAACGTGAACTCGCGGACTCTCTTGCGGACGCGTAACTTCGGCATGAGGAACTTGATCTCGCGAATTAGCTTCGTTGGAGAAATAATAAATATTATGGGGATACCGATACGGATACGTCGGATTACCAACGACTACGAGATAACCGGAAGGCTGCTCCGAAGACTTGTCATTCGCGTCTTGTGCCGCGATCCCTTTTACGACGTGTTGGTAATAATTCGGGGCATAGTTTTGCGAATTTGGCGGCACGACATTGTTCGCCGGTTCCGTGTTGTCGAAGGCGTAGTCGAAAGGCGGCGGCCACACCTGCAGCTCTTTGTGCTCGCCTTCGTGCAATTGCCGTGGTCTTTCGGGCAAACCGATCTGCGGAATCAGCTCCTCTCTGAGGACCGTTTGCGCGGGACCCGCGTTATTATCTTCACTGAATCGGCTGTCCGGTAATTTATTCACCTCTTTGTAGCTCAACTGTCGCGTAGTCGCTTGTTGCACCTTGTCGTTCGCATCGATATAGCGTACCGGCACGACTAGAGGCACGTATCCCGTGAAATCGACTTCTTTCCGCGACTTCGCGTTCTCCAGTCCCGCGACAGCATCGCGATTCGATCCAGTCGGCCTTCTCGCGCGATCATCCTCCTTACCGCGTCCCGTATTAGGTTTTCTCGCCGGCGCATTATTTTGGATTCTCTCGCTCCCTCTATCATTTCTATCCGCTTCATTTTCGTCATTTAATTCGTATTCTTCGTACTTATTCTCCGGCAAGGCGTACTCTTCCCTGAGCTTCTGCAGCCTAATCAAATGCTCGTCGTAACCGTCGTCCTCGGCAGATGTCTCCTTTTCATTCTTTTCCCTCGACGCTTCCTCGGAGTTGTGGACCCTTTGCGAATCGTACGCGTCAGCTTGAACGTACGGGTGCTTGAACATGCTTATGTAACCGGCGATTCTATCGTCTTCCAGTTTCTTGTTGTCCAATACCTCGCCGTAGCTGTCGCGAATCACTTCGGGATTACCCTTGTGGATCAAGTAGTCGCCGATGGGCAACTGCTGCTGGTTGTATCCTATTTCCACGTACTTGTCCTCAGGCTGCTTGTACCCCTTAAACTGCTTATTAGAATCATCTTCATAATTCGAATAGTCTTCGCTTTCCTCTTTTTCGTTCTTCTTTGACTGTTGCCTCGAGGCCTCGTTCGGGAGATTCTCCTGGCCGGCGTATCTTTCCGCGGAGCCTTCATCTTCCTCATCACGATGCACTGGTTCTCTCTCTTCCGTTGATTCGTACTTAGATGCATGACCTCGATTTCGATCAGCGATCTCCCCGCGGTTTCTGTATCTTTCGTTCATTTCTTTTTCACTGTAATGCACAGCTTTATCGCGATTTTTTTCTTCTTCTTGCTGCTTCAACTTCTTAATAGCAAAGTTAATAAGTTCCTCCTGTTTGCGCTGCCGCTCGTCGTGCCTGTTTTTCTGCTGCTTGTTCCTCGGCTCGTCGACGTATAATTGATGATTATACTTGTTCACCGGCTTCTTCACGTTTTTCTCATCGTAAGTATCCTTTTCCTGCACCGTGTATCGTTCCGCGTCCTCGTTGTTCCTATACGCCGTCTCCTGCTCTTTCCGAACCGGCGTTTCCGTATTTTCGTTTCCGCCACTCGCAGTGGAAAGTGCTGGGGAAGGATACGACAGACCGAGATTTTCTGCGCCAGGCATCGTAATCTCATCGAGTGGTATGAGATCGGGCGCGATCGGCAACGGGATCTTCACGAAGAACGGCGCTAACAGAGGCGGTTTCGTCGACGAGTCCGTCTCCGGATCCACCGCAGGGAGCATCGATGCAGACGGCGACGTCATTGTATTATTTTGACTGTGAAAGATCTGCTCGTATCGCTGCAGCTGTCCTACAATGTCCGTGTTATTGCCGAAATTCAGCACGCCGGTGAATCTGATGGTTTCTTGCTGTTTCGGCACCGTGGTATTCGTGGGTCGAGAAGATGCGGTTTGTTGTCTCAAATCCACCGTCCTGGACGGATTGGACGTTGTGGCGTCGGGTCCCGTGACATTCGGGTTTGACAGCGAGGCGTATTGAATTGGCGTCACCGTGTATCCAAAGATCTGGGCCAGACCCGATAGCAGGAGATTGAGAGCTCTCTTATCGCGAGGATTCTCCGTAGATTGTCCGTCGATTTTCTCCTGTGCTGACAATGAGATTCTCGACAGATCTTCGACGTGTGCCAAGGGTCGCGCTCTGAGCTCGGCTGTTTCCTCCTGTGGCACCTCGAACGCGCGCGCGACGCACAGTAAATATAGGATAAATATTCGTGCATACAATTCCATCGTGGAAGACACCTAGTTGACGCTCGGAAACAATCGCATATCGCACAGTGGATCAAACTATGTATTAAGTCACTTCTAATCGATCAAACCGAGGCACTTTACTTTCGTATTTATTTTAAAATCAGTTATTTTAACTGAAAAATTCACACATTCTGTTTGTATTTTATAGCGTCTGTCTTAACGTCACGAATCACTGTTATGTTGTTTATTAGAAGATGAGCAGTAATAAGTTATATAGCATTATTTAGACTTAGAGTTCGGGCGTATAGGAAATATTATTTGCAATAACGCATCGCGAGGAAACCTTCGCGTCTCAGTACTTCACGAGGACTGCCGAGTCGATTGCGGCGGCGTAGTCATTAAACAATGATTTGACGGGCGGGGATAAATTTTTGCATAATATCGGAAAGAAATGTCGAGTTTCTCTTGAATTGCACGGGCCCACTCAATGATTTGCGACAACTGAAGCGGTACGACGCAATGCGCGGGCGGGAACGAGCGGGAGGTACCGGGATCGCGCGCGAATAAGTTGGTGTCAACACTAAAGAAATTAAACGCAAAAAAATTAGGCGCGTTCATGCGATTCTGGCTGGATAAAATTTTCCCGTGGATTTAATTGCACGCTCAAACGTGACACAAATCTGTTGCAATATCCCTCAATTTTTAAAAGAACAGTAGATCCGCGTTAGACTCGTAACTTTCCATGGAGTAATTGAGAGTTTTGAAATAAAAAGTAGAGCGAGCGAATTACTTAATAATCTAATTATTATTCTGAGAATATAGTTATAACGAAAGAGGAAGAAAATTTTATTCTTAATTTGTTATAAAGAAGCCAGTTGTTTGCTGTAATAGAATTTTTATTAATATTTATTTTTTATAAATGAGTATTTCCTTGTATAAAAATAAAGAATATTTTTATTTTAAATTATTATGTACTAGAAAAAGGTATATTAGCCGATTATTAAAATTATGATTTGTCGGGTATGCTTGCATTTGTGCATTTTTTTCCCCCTAAGAGAAAGGAGATTCACCGGTGCGTGTACAAGCGTAAAATTAATTTGTATTTACTGCCGGTATCTCAGATTCTCATCTTACGATAGCTTGTCTAACAAATGCAAAACTATCTCTATTTGTTCCGTCGGGAATCGCCAATGTGAAGAAAAATAATTGTTCTCGTAACAAACTTTCTTACGTTTAGGTTCGACAACCTTATAATTTTAAAATCTAAAGTAAGAAGCAAAGAAATTATTAAGAGCAACACTTATACCATTCGAATTAATCGATGAAGAACCAATATTGATTTTGATGAATTAAAAATTTACTTGTCAATGCATATAACTTACGTGAGCTTCCTGTTTTAAAAGTGCTATGTGTCGAAAAAAGCTATATTTTAGACACTATAATGAGATATAAATATAATATATTTTGGAAAGAAGATATAAAATTTGAAGAATTCCTTGTATTAGCCTCAACTTTCTTATTTATACCGTATTAATTAACGCTGTATATTTATCTGAATAAGGATTTTTGGAATTTATTCTTTACAGTAAGAAATTTATTTTAATGTAAATATTTATATGGTAGCGTTGCGTAAAACATACGTGTTCACTCGTGCGAGCTTTTCCACAAAGACAATTATACGTTTCATGCGACTACAGTCGACTGTGATATTAGAAAGACGGGAATTTACGACGGTATTGTGAAAGGTTGATGACAGTAAATATCAATTCGTTTGTCGCGTCCAGTCGACGTCGATGTGACCGACCACGAGGGCGACGACACATTGCGTTCGTTTGGAAGTTTCCTTTACGGCTTTCGTAAGTAGACAAGAGTATATAACCTGTTCTCTGGCCAGAGAAAGTCGCTATTTCCTTGTTTAGCGATGATAAAATTGCTTAGGACGACGATCCGCGAGGGAGGGATAGAATAAAAACTTGGGTCCGCGCGTTTAAGGAAGGGCTCACGATTACATAACATTCTTAACACGTTCGATATTACGTGACTTTAGATGAGTTCGGAATACTTTATGAACGATGCAATGTGAACGGTAGTGATACTTTAATTGAACCGCGGTGCTACTCTAATTAAACGGCAAGCGACGCGATTATTTTATCTCGTTTAATGACATTTAATTCTTAAAGATTCTGAAATAGATTTAGAACGCACTGATTTTCACAAACGTTGTTACGTTATGAATTAATGTAGCAATGTGGCGAAAACGCAGTTACTAAATGAAATCGATTAGTACGGTCACGAAGGTGAATATTGCACATATATAAGGTAAAAATTTTACGGCGTTTTATTGTAATCTTACTACAGTGGCACACTTTTACTCAATTGAAGAATCATCAGTTCACTAAGATATCGCTTGCACTAATTTTTAATAATAAATTGAACAAATTATACTAGATTTTTCTAAAATCTTATAAGATTTTTATCTTATAGATTTTAATTAATTTTATTCTAAATTTACACAAAAAATACAAAATACACAAACAGTTAATATTTAATTTTAAAAAATGTGAAATTAATTTATTGCATTATCATTATCCGAAGAGAGAGATTATTTTTTATTTAAAATAATATTGTTGAGGAAATTTAGAAGTAAACATTCCTTAAATTTTCATCATAATTTTTACTAACTTAAGTGCTACTATAATTTTTCTGCAATGTATTCTTTCATAGAAGATCGTCGCGCGAAAGTGAACAATCACAATATAACGGTGACAGCTCGTCAATATTTTTTGCTTGATTCTTTGTTGTCGCGTGAAAGTATAAAATTTTTATTTCTTATAGAATAATTAAGCAGACATTCTCTTCCTTTCGTCATCGTCATATTGAGCGTAATTTAATTCGTGCAATTTTATCTCACAACTTTATTACATTTGAATATTTTTTTGT